CGCTTCATTGACAGCAGCAGTTGGGCAATGTAGAGTCCATACAACAGGAAGAATTGGGGAATAAGTTAATAAAAGGGTCTTTTATTCCTGCATGTGCTCTAAAAGCTGAAATTCAACTAAGTATTTAGGCTAACTTCTTTCTAGAATCCTGACTTCTGGTTTCAGTAAAGTGTTCCAGTTTTCAAGCACAGAAGTCAATAGAAAGCTGGGAGCCCCGATGGGATTTAGGAGTCTCAACATCTATTTGGATGTGCTTCAGCTGTCCCAATACTGCTTCCATTTAGATTAATGATTAACGCCTATTGATTCCAATGAGGTAAGATCTACTTCAGTGTTCCTATGCAATTGTGAGCAAGCCACAAAAAATAAACTTTTTGACCGGCGTGAGTAATTTCTGGTTAGTTTCCAGCAGCTCCCTTCTGGGAGCAGTAAATGAAGTGTTACAGAAGCGTACCATGACCCAAGTTGAACAGTGAGAAATAACGTGCTCTTTATGATTTGACTTCAGTCTTTGTTTATCACCTTTCATACGGAGATTTGTCACTAACCGTTCTACGACGATTAAAAACTGCACTTACGGACACTCTAAAAGTGGATTATTTCTTATGATTTAAATGGTAAGTGGGAAGAAAGGCATAGGAAGTGCACATTTAATGATACCGAGGGAAAGAAATACTGCTCATCCAGCAGTTCTGTAATCATCATCCATCCTTGAAAGATTTTTATTAAACTTGCCTTCTCTTGACAATTTCAACAGTCAAAATTACTTCCCAGTGCTCTGATCCCAACTATCAACTTTCAGCTAATGCAAGAGTATATTGCCTTTTTCAAATGACACTTTCCAGTGCAAATCTTCTAGTGTCTTCATCCTGATGTCTTTATAAATCTTTCTTCTGGTTACTGTTTTTCCAGTTTGTGTGGTTGAGAGATACTAATCAGTCACTGTGAATTTAAGGTCCCATGATTAATCCTTCTTTGCAGGAGACTGTGGGCTTATTTTATATCCATTGACTTCAGTCTTGAGCTGCAATTTTCCCACCACTTCTCCTGCAGTTTACTCAGTTTGGGCAGGTGGTCCCAAAGATAAGGGATAGAATTGGCTGTGTTGCTTCTGTGAATAAAGGTACTGGAGATTAAAACTGACTATGTAGTATCATTAGTATAATACAGTTAGTATACTACATAGTACATAATTTATTACCAACTGTCAGTAGTATAGATTTCAAGAATCCATTTACTAGTGAGTAATTTGTTTTCATTAGTAGTGTTTAAATGACTGTGGGCTATTATAGCTGGAGTACCAGTTCTGCAGTGGCCTTGTTTCTGTCATATAAGCTTCCTTTTCCTATAGAAATACCAGAATTGCCATATGCAGGAGGCCATTGGAGGGTAGTATTTCGTATGATGGTGTTCCCTGACTTCTAGTAGTGCTTAGCATCTTGTGTGTCAGAGGAGGAAAGGTAGTCATGGGACAACCTGCATCCAAAGAGTACCCTCTTTTAACTCCCAGTACTAGAGGTTGGTTGTTGCTCAAACTTGAGAGCTTACACGTCTTACAAAGTTCTTGGAGATTTTTGTTGTTAATTTTCTTTTGCAGGGTTTACTATAATAACTGGTTAGCCTTCTCACTGTAATTATATGTTTTGAAGCCACTGAGTCTGTGGTATGCGACATCTCCTGGAAATGTTATATCTTGTTTTGCACACAGTTTTTGTTGTTTTCTTAACATGTATTCATCTAATTTTGTATAGACCCTTTTAGTCTTTCTCTATCCCAGTTGAAATAATGTTGTGTCCTATGTATGGGTTTTTTCTTTTCACTTCTAAAAGCCAGGTTGGGTGACATGATTAATTATTGACAAATAAAAATGATATCTGTCTTTAGCTCAAAGTTAAACTGGAATTTTGTCATTAAGGAAATATACTTACTTGACAGTGAGAAGACTTTTAGAACACAGTGGATGTGAATAAATTTGAACTGAGAACTTAGTCTTGAAGTGGAATAGGCTTCTCAATTTGTTAGTGAGCTAAGACAATTTAAATCCTCTTCACTAAATACAGAGTGAGAGCTTCACGATAGAGGTAAAACTCAGTTTAGAAAAGGATACAAGACTAGACATCAGTAAGGCAGAGACTGTAGGAATGCACTCCACCCCTTCAATTGTACTTTATAGAAAATCTGTTATATTTTAAGGATTCACTTTAAAATGGGAGAGTTTAGCTTTTCACTAATCATAAAAACAAAAAATTTGAACGGTGTTGACCATTGTAGTATTGAAATGCTGTAATGATACCATGAAATGTGTTGTGAGTAGAATCTTCCTAGCATAATTATAGACTGTTAAATCAGTTTCCCAGAAAAGGATTGTGTTTGGGTCAGGTGGGGGGGAGGTGCTGGTAGGAAAAGCAGTCAGGCCAAAGCTATTACTTACTGCCAGATAAGTAGAAATGCTCATTTTGCTTGACATGACTTCCGGTAAACTTGGTCATAAAAAGTGGAGGGAAGAATGAGAAATGACAGTGAGTTGATAATTGCTCTTCTCTTCCCTCCTCTTAATGCTTGCTGACAGTTCCTTGGCAGTGTTGAGCTCTTGTCCACCCTGGCATCTCTAGGAAATATCAAGAGTTTCGTTCATCCTGTGCACGTCCTTGCCCCATGCCCTCAAAGACCTGGACCATTGCTTGTTTGGAAGATGTGTGTAGAATCTACACCAGCCTTATGCCATCTCAGTTCTAGGCATGGAAGGTAAAAAGCCTTTCCATGATTCAAGGGAAACCGCCTGTGGAGGGTGCACGCATCCAGTATGAGCCATCACCTTCCTCTGAGCACAGTTACTGCATCTGCAAAGTTGCTGAATTAAAGAAGCAGTGCGTTAAGGAGTCACCTCCTGAAACAGATTCCTTGGGAGAAATTGTTCAAGGAGACGTTATACTTGACTGTGAAGTAACATGCAGGAGGTCATTGAAGGAGTACCAATATCTGAGCCACTGAGTAATAGTGACAACAGTATAATTGCATTCTGTGTCCTCAGGGAGAAAGGATATAGAGAACCACAACAGAATTATGCAAGAGGAGATTTGATTTGAGTGAAGTGCATTAACAAGGAATTTTAGTTATGATATTTGTACTCTTTCTGACAAAGTAATATGGTTATATCTTATGTGGAAGGTATTTAAGGTTATTAACAGAAGTCATAAATAGATAAGAATAAAATTAGAATCAGGACTATAAAAAAATAAAAAAGGTCAATAGGTTACTTATTCAATGAGGGTTATATTACCATGAGAAGAGCAAGAGATGACAGCACACAGTGAGAGAAAGAGGTATCAGTGCAGTTGAGCTGGGTTTCTAAGAATAGCTGTCCATCATTCAGTGCACTGACACATAATGTGAACCTGTTTCACTTACTCAAAACAAAACTTTCAATATTGGGAGAAACATTAAAATGTAGCTGCACTTACAGATCATTTCAAAGCTGATAAAACAGGTCTTCAACTGTCATATGGTAGTATTCTCTTGGGTTTCTTGTTTTATATTAATATATCGCATTACAAATTTAGTAATATGGAACTTACCATGCACAAACTTAAATCACCATTGTTAAAACTGAGGTTGAGAGTGTTACTCAGTGTGAAAGAGAAAACAAGTAAATATTATTTCATGAAGAAGCCAAATCAATTCAAGAAATCCGTATTTAAGTTGTATTGTAATACAGTACCCTACTAAGATAAAGAGAATTGGTGTGCTTTAACTGTGCTTGCATATTTTGAAATGTCTATGTTTCTAATGCTTGTTTTTCAAGGAATGAAATATCAGAATTAAAAATTCTCATAATATTTAGTATACTTAAATTATCTTTATTTATCCTTTGTACAGGGACTAATACTATTAGCTGTTAAGCTTCTTCTATTATGGTTTGAATTTTTTGAGCCATGCAGTGGATCATTAATCCAATTGAACTTTTTGCAAAAGCAGGGAGACTTACTCTTTGTAATGTTAATGATGTCAGGATGGATTTTGTAGCTCTCCAGTTTGCTTAATTTTTCTACGTTTCCTCCATTACCAAAAGAAGATTGTGAAGTGGCAAAAAGAAGATCGTGCAGTAGCAAAAAAAAATTTTTTTTATGTTGACTTGTGCTATATGGCTGGATATTTAGACATTGTCTAGTTGCAAAGGCAATAAAGTGTAAAAATATTTTATTCCTTTAAACTGATTGAATCAAGTAACAAGAATTTTTATTTATTCCTATTGTGTTGTTATATTTTCAATTTTGGTAGATTTGTTCAATTTACAATAAAAAGTTAATCCTGTCAACTTGGCTGTCCAGGTAAAGGGGAATGGCATAATCCGGATGAAGGAATGACATAGGTGCAATTGCTGCTTTTGATCCTGAGCTGGCTCACATCTTGACTGAGCCTTTGGGTTTGGAAAAACTTGCTGACAGTAGCACCGCATGATGCAATTGCGCTAGCTCTGGTCCGCAGGGCTCCATTCCCACAGTGCTGTGCCTAAGTCAATAAGCCGTGCTGGTCCTGAGCTAAGCAGTTTGAAAACCCCTCCTGTGTCTCCGCACAGAGATCATGGTATATCGGTAATCCAGGTGACCCAACATAAAAAGTGGAGAATTACTAGTAGTGGCCATGGAACTGAAATATGGTCTTCATTTCATTTTGCACACAAAACTGAAAAAAAGTGGTAACTGCAGACATGGCATGAGTCCTACATTACTGTCACTTCTGTATCACACTTGCTTAGTTGTAAAGAGTGTAAAGATGGAAAATTTTACTAATTCCTAGTCTGACAGCAATTTACAAGATGCATGATTTTTTTTTTCCCCGCTTCTTCAAGAAAAAGTCGTGTTCAATGTGTTCCTGTTATTATTGCATTTATACTCTTTCATATGTATTATTGAGCTGTAAGTTTAGCAGAAAAACATTGATATTTTGACATAATAAAGATTGTTTGTGTTAATTTCTTTTGTCCCTTCATTACATTACAGGTACCGTAAGAATTGAAATGTTCAGGAACATGCAAAATGCAGAAATCATAAGGAAAATGACAGAAGAATTTGATGAGGTATAGTATGCAAATAGTTCTTTAAACATTATGAAATATATTATAATATATTTTGCTTTTAAAACAAAAATGCAATGAGCAAGAAACCAGTGGATAAGCAATGTCTTGGTATGAGAAATTACATTGACAAGCAAAGCAGTGATATAAACTATTGGGTGAGGAATAACGAGCTAGCATGAGCTTTAGGAAAGAATAATAATGGAAAACCAAAAAGTAATAAAATAATTTGAAAAGGTAATTACACCCATTCATCTTAAGGAGTCAGGGTTCTGGATGCTGAAATACTCGTACTGAAAAGTTTGTGAATTACCCAGTGTGAGGGTGTAAGTGTATTATTGCACAAGAGCGTGGAGTGAGCTCGCATCTGATGATGTAAGAGAGCCTAGCCAAGTCTGACTCTGCAGGAGCTACCTTGGGTCCATGCTAGCCCTGGACTGGATCTGTGTAGGCCCTCATGTATCTTTGTATGGCTTTAGGGATATCCTTGTCTGTCTGTACCCTGGGTACTAGAGAGGTTAGTGAGACGAGGCAGTAAGAAGAACTGTAGAAAGTTTTCTCATCCCACTGAAGTTGGTGCTGGTATTCTGGATTCCGAAGTTCACTTCTTGGAACTGCCATCATACAACAAAGAACAGATTCCTGAGACAGGACTACAGGCTTTTGCAGCATTCTGCTCTGTTCGATGCATGCAAATTAATGTTTTGTTCATTTGAAATGGCAATTTAAACCAAATAGTTACGTGACATGAAAATTACCATTTTGGAACAGTGTTACAGAAAGGAATCCTCTTTCAAAAAATCGAAGCGTTTTGTTTGAAACAGGTGTATTACAGTTCAGATTGGGTATCTTCTGTCCAAATAAAAGTGTTCCTAATGGCGAATACTTTTTAGCTTTGAGATTTTTTAACCGTATTTTCTTTGTTTTTTCATATATAAAAAACTTAAATGAACACTCAGAATATTTATTTTGTTTAGTGAGGAAAACAAATGCTGAAAGATTAATTTTCTACAGGACAGCAGTGTCTTTTTCTGACCAATTCTAAAGGGAATTGCAAGGCTGCGATTCAAAAAGTTAAGCAGGAAAACTATAAATGTGAGCACTACTCTTTTTCAGGGTTTACTTCTGCAGGATTTCCATCTTGTTCATGGCCTTGAATGACAAAATGTTTAACTATGTACTTAACTATGGCCATGTGGATGCTCCTTTTGCTGTACTGAGGTATTCACTCACGGCCTTGTGTACATGTAGGATAGGGTAAATAAAATTTAGCTTATGATGACAAACAGAAGGATTGTATCAATTCATTCTACATTCTGGCTGAATTTTTACTTGTGTAATTTGAAAACAGAATTGGATATTGTCTTTGATCTAGCCCCATTGTATAAAATAGAACGGCCAAGACACTGTCCAAAAGCCAAAGAACATTGATTTTGCCCATGAGGGGATTGTCCCACAGTTGATGGAAGAAAATATTTCTCAAAAAAACCCTTTCAAAAACTGTTAAAGTTTTTTCTCAAAGGAGAAAAAGACTCTCTTCCTTATGCACAGTATGAACATACGCATAAGCAACGTATCTCGAAGAATTACAGTTACTAGTACATAAGATTTCTTTCTCCATTACCTAAAACTTTTCAGAACTTTTACAATTCTAACAAAGTTTCCATTCTGGCTTCTGCCTTAACACTTGAATGGATTTGTGAAAGAATTTGTGGGGTTTAGTATAAAAGCATGAAATTGTTATTCTTAGACCACAATCCAGTGAATATTTTGAAATCTGGAATAAACTCATACCCTGTTAGTAGTGGAAAACATTTTAGAATTTAGTGCAGTTTTCTGCTGATGTTCATATATCAGATGATCACAGCATAGTAAGTTTATAATTGTTATATGACCTGTTCCATATTATATGTTATATGACCTATGTTCATACTGCTAGTCAGAGTATTGTCAGATTGGTCTGTGCAGGATGTCATAGTCACAAAGAAGACCTGCTTTTACAAGCTTTTAGAATACGAGCAGCTTATGTTACTGTTCAGGGTGAAACACACGATGAAATAACCAAACAAAATCTATCTCAGTCTTCAGCAGATTGTAAAATTGCAATTGCGATTGGCATAGCATTAGGACACTTTTTGCCCCTCCGTTTAACGTCCACCACTTAACAATCATTGCTGGGAGAGCTGTTACGTTATCTATTCATTAGCACAGTATGCTGCCCAGAAAATATCTTTGTTGCCATTGAAGGTGTTCAGATTTGCTGCTTGCTTTGCTTTTTCAAGATCATCTCATTGTTCTGTCAGTGTTGCAGTAATCAGTACTAATCAGTAATCAGGTACTAACTTCTGCATTTATGGCAGGGATTGAAGCATTGATATTCCTCATCAAGAGTAGTAGAGGAACACTTGTGCAGGACTTAAAGGATAGAAATAACTTTGTTCGTTGCTGCCACAAATTCAGTTTCAGACAGGGAATTCCATGGACGTCCATCTGCTACACTATCTGGGTGCTTGGCTTATGAGTACAGGCATTTTGTAGGTGAATTCCCTCATAATTTTTGTGCTAGAGTTAGCAGGTGAACAAAAATCTGTTTTGGTTTGAGTTTTTTAACCATTGGACTATGGTGTATCACATTTTTATTGGTATTCGAGAATAAAAGATCCAATGCAGTGGCTTTATTGGAAATTTATTCTTCCCATTTCAGCCAGATGAGATGTTCGTGGTGCAAGTCTTCATATGCTTTTCAAAAGGACTGTCTAGTATGTAATTGTAGGTTAAAAATACATCATACAAATGTGAGTAGTTATACACAGCACTAGAAATTCTGAGGATCTGTTCCAAAAAATTATGTACACATACCTCTAGAAAGCATATATTATGTCCTCAAGGTCACATGCAGAGTTCCCACAGGTACTGTGCAGGCAGGAACTTAGGCTGGAGATTATTTTTGAAAATAAGATGTAAGCAGGAAGAAGAAAAGGAGTCTGGAGTGTTCGTGTGGACTTACTGCTAGAAAAACATTCAGGAGAAAGCTTTAGCATTTTAATTTCAGTCCTAAATTTAAACAAATATGAGACTAATGCAGGGCTTGTATTTACATGGCAAGACACTGTACCTTGCTGTAATTCACTGGCAAGAGCATTAGGCATAAACAGACAACGCTTTGAAACACGCAGCATACCTGACAATACTACTACGTATTTTACACTGTTTATCTGGGTTTCTACTACATAATGCTTTGGTCTGATTTACAAAAGTTCTGAGGACTCACAGCACCAACTGAATGTGCTAGGAGATGTCTTTATGTCAGGAGCTTTACAACCCTCTGAATGGGTTTTTAAACCAAAGCTCCTATTTCCCTCAAATTGGACATTCAAAGTTAGAAGTAAAAATATTGCTCATTAGGATAATGTCATTCAGGATTGCAGTGGATGAGACACTAAGGTCATTGCGTGCCTTATAATTTTGTCTTTTGCTAACATTTGAGCACTTGTCTTTGCAATTTTAATCTTTATTTTAGTATGATTGACACGTGTGATTGGTTAAATTTGATAGATAGGGTTTTTCACTGCAGGGGAATATAATTTATGAAGTTTAGATAAAAGTTTATTTGATTACAGCTCCTCTATGCTTATGTTACTGACTTTACATGGTTCAGTCTGGGGGATAAGAGAAGTCCTGAGAGAACAGAAGTGCTTATTCTTCACAAAATCACAGAATAAATATGTACAAACGGATTTAACTTTGATACTACTGACTCCTTACCTTGGGGGAGAGATTCAGGATGGAGCATTATTCATGTTTTGGATAATCTGGAATTGGTTTACAAATCAGGTGATCAGGGAGATTGTATTTAGTCTTTTTCACTGAAGGGGAAAAAAACACTTCCTAGTTTGGGAGGGGCAGCCTCACTGAAATGCAATATTGAAGTGAGAATAGTAAAAGCAAACTTGGAGAGGAGTTAAACTTAAATGAACTGAGTGTTCACATGCCTACTCCAGTCTTGCAATAATCTTTGGAAGATGGGCTGTATGAAACTGTAGTAAAATTTCTATTACTTCTATCAGAAGGCAAGTTTTACCACTAGAAAAAGGGTAAATTTATAAGATCAAAAAAGGGCAGTATTTACTTTCTGATAAGATCTCAATTGTAAACTTGAGTAAGTTTATGGGGAGGGGCAGCCAGTTGATTAGAATATTAATACAGAGTTGAAGTGAGGATGGAGAGTGACACAAGCCTTCAATCACACAAGCCTTTCTTTAATACTTAAATACTTAAATATTTAAATACCTTAAAATACTTTGAAGTACTCCTTTCTTGTCCTTTCCCCCCACTTCCTAACCCAGGACACAAAGAAAAGAAGTGAATCTTGATGCATATTTTGGACTATGCAGAGCTAGTATTGCAAGTCTAGAACAGCTATAATGAAGACTTTGTAAAAGTGGTTTCATGCCTACAAGCTTCTTTGTTTACTGAAGAATAATGTGTTGTTTTATTTGTTAATTCTCTGTTGGCTTGAAGGAAGAAAGTAGTGTTTAGCTTAGAAACTTAGACCATGGTGACTACAACAACATTAAAATAAGTTAAATGCGGAGACTTTTAATACTTAATGTTTTCATTTTCTTGTTCTTCAGGACAGCGGTGATTATCCACTTACCATGCCTGGGCCACAGTGGAAGAAGTTTCGATCCAACTTCTGTGAATTCATTGGAGTGCTCATTCGACAGTGTCAGTATAGCATCATTTATGATGAATACATGATGGACACGGTGATCTCTCTTCTGACTGGTTTGTCAGATTCCCAGGTCCGGGCTTTCAGGCACACCAGTACATTAGCTGGTAAGTAAGCTAGCACAGAGAAGAATTTTTTCAAAGAAGTTGCTGCTCTTTAGCCACTTTGAGAATTACTCCTAATTTTGATTGAGGTGGAATTTGACCAGCACTGAGAATTCTGGAAAGCGTGATCAAATACAAGTACCATATATGGTACAACTATAATTAAAATACCCTTTTTTGTTTGAAAAGAATATGCTGAGGCACTTGGTCTCAGAGATTCCTGTCATAGCCAGGGGCCTCCAGTGAATCCTGTGAATCAAAAGTGGCGTGCTTATATCTTGCGTTTTATTATTAGTTGTTCATTTGTTGTATAGAATGTCTTCATAATTTTTTATGTTAGAGTACAAATTTATTCTAAATAAATGTTAAGAAAATTGTATTATCAAAGAACTTCAGTCTACCGAAAAATAAAATCTGTGCCTTCACTCTTGAGAAGCATTAGGTTTGGGAGCGCTAGGCCATAGCTGTAGGTCTCGCTGTCTTCTACCTCCAGCCACGCTGCACCTTTCAACACAGCTGCCTGCACCTAAGGAAAGCACTAGGTATGTCATTAGATAGAAACAGAGTTTTCTAGAGTGTATTTTGTCAGACCTATACAAGATGTCTCCCCTAAGATGGATGAATTGCTCTCTAGGAGTAACTTTTTTTCTCCAATTACAAAGCAATACTAGGGTGGCTGGCGTGGACGTGGGTGTCTAAAGCTGGTTATGTCAGGTGATACCTTTCTACTCATCTTGTGCTGAAATATTGGAAGATTCTTCTCCCTAGATTGTTTATAGATCATGCCAAATATTTGAAGCCTTCATAGGAGACATTTGTCATAATCTGACTATTTCTACTGCCAATTTTTGTTACTGATTTAATCTTGCCACAATCAGCCTCTTACAATTTTGTTCAGGTTTCCAAGTGTAATACCCAGTGTCCAACATATTCAATCAGAATTTGTTTAAAAATTAATCTCTTGCTGTGAATCCAAGTAAGAGGCAGATTTCCAATGATACTGAAAAACCATTCCAGATTTGATTGGAGTTTGATTTTAAAACTGAAGGCCAAAACCTTCAACTCACAGTGACTGAATTCTTTTGGAAACCTATCCTCTTGCATTCTTCACCTTACTCAGAAACAGGATGGTAAAAACATGAATTATGCAGGCATAAGTTTCCAGGTTTAGAGTTTACATCTACAAATTCAGTATTCAAAAGTGAATGCTGTTTGAGCTGCAGATAACCTGCTGGAAATCTGCCTGTTATTTAAGCTGAGAGGGAAACTGTGTTCCTTTCCAGCTGATACTATCTTCAACTCCAGGTGATTTTGATTTGCTCTTTGCTTAGATTGTGGTTGATTGTTTCACAGGAGAGAGATTACGGAATGAGGTATGCACTCTGGTTTCTTACATTGATTGGTTCATCCTTGTGTGGGATAAATGTTTGGAAAGTGTGAGAGGCTTGATTGAAAAGAAGGAAACAGCACCATACATTAGAGACCTTACGCAAGACCTGTGTTATGTGGAAGAAACAGTTGCCATCATTTGGAATGGATTATGTAGCTAGAAACTTCAAGGAAGGATAAGCAACTGCTAAGGCCAAGTTTCATCACAACTAGCTTCAGTTATTTAAGCCACTGCTGGCCTCTTGCATTAGATACACACGTATTAGCACTTACATTAGGAATAGGAGGTGCTGAAGATCAGCATTTTCCAGTGATAACACATGCCATTTATTTGTTTGTTTTAACAAGCTTGAGAGCTTTCTTTTGATTCTGCAAATTTCCTCCAAGCTAGTTTTTGCACATTTAATTATGTTGCTATCCTGCAGAACAGAGGTCAGTGTGATGCTGTGGAGCTCAGTCTTGATAAAGTTTGTGAAAATCTACTTTTAGAATTTCATTTATTCTTGAAGGAGTGTTTTTGAGGTCTTTGCTTTCAGTTTTTCTCTGTGCTAGGCAATTTGAATGAGAAATGATTCACTGTAGCAAGAAACTAAAGGCAGTAAGTACACATGGGTGCTTCTAGAGTTGCCTGCTTTGAGCAATAGCAAGATAAAAAAGAGTTACCATATGAGTCACTTCTTCATTTGTATAGTTGCTTTTCTACCTTGAAGATAATGTTGTATATTTAGCCAGAGAGGATGTGATAGTTTGTTACATTATTTTGCTGGTTTTTAAGTATTGTAAAATGTGATATGCCGTGTAACCACACAGAACATGGGAAAGAACCTATTAATGTTTTTGTAAAAATAAATTAATACAGAAAAATAGACATGAACCATATTATATCCAGCATGTGTGAAAATGCTATAAAAGGGTGTATAAAGTTCTAATTGCATTTTTATACAACTATACATTTGACTTCAGAACAATGTCAGAGTTACTTTCAGAGAAACTGTGCTGTGGCCCCTCGCAAACTGAGTAATCCTCAGAAGCTATTGGTTAAGAGTTACCCTTAGTATGGAGGCATCTATAACCGTACTTTTCAGTAGAGAAGTGTATGTAACTCCACAGTATCTGGCTTCATGGTGTACACTGATCCTGCAGATTCACATGCTTGCTCACTGACCTTATGCATTCAGAACTTGCATAATTTTCTGGAGAAGGTGGCAAAGAGCATTGCCTGGAGCTCAATGTGGTATATATACTCTCTTTTCTGATCTTTAAATGAGCCAAGTGACCTGGCTATTGCTTGGGTGGGAAGTGCCTTTCCAGATGGCTGGCAGGGTCAAGTTTGTTATTTTCTGTGAGTATGGATCTGCTGAGGAAATATTTTTCAGCTCTGATTTGGATTTGAGATAAAGAGTCATATTCTGTCTTCTGCCTTTGCAGCTATGAAGCTTATGACTGCTCTTGTGAATGTTGCCTTAAACCTGAGCATTCATCAGGATAATACACAGAGGCAGTATGAAGCTGAGAGAAACAAAATGATTGGCAAAAGAGCTAATGAAAGATTGGAGCTGCTGCTTCAGAAAAGAAAAGAGGCAAGTGAAAAGATGAATTTTTTTTCCTGGTTCATGTGCATTCCCTCCAGCAGAAAGTCCAGGGTGGTCTATGACTTGAGTACCATAGTGAGAAACAAGAGATTAGTTCTGCAGTCCTGTTTGTGTGATCTCAAGCATATTACTTTGGCTACATTTTTAAATCTTTTTTGAACACTTTCAGTTGAGTTTGTAATCTGTTCTGCATGCACAGGATAATTTATATTCTCAGGCTTGTATATATAACCAGGCAGGAAGAAAATTAGTCTCAAGTTGTAAGTAGTAACTGTTTTGATTATGCAAAAACATTTTGAAAAGAGGATCAGGTGTAGTCCCTCACCACACTGCCCGTTTCTCCCTTTGATCACTGCAGTTATTACATAGTGTCTCATTAGTACTTCTTTTTGTAGCTACTTTCAAGAAACACTGGAGTGGGGGCTATAGCACCTGGTCTCAGGGAGAAGAAGCTAGGGGGACATTAAAGTCGCTTTTAGTAAGTACCAGTCTGGCATTAGGTGAGCAAAACCATTAGAAGGTTACTGTAATCATCCCTAAATAAAGTATTATATCCCAGGAAATTCAGTTTTAGAGTTGTAATTAAAAGAAATTTAAAGATGACAAGTAGAAAATGAATACATATACACCCAAACAGCCATAATCTCTAAAGATGCCATGTAAAACTCAGAAGATTGATTGAAAAATTGAAGTAAATATAACTTAGATTTAAATTTATTACTTCTAATATATTAGTCTTGAATATATTTCCTCCACCACTGTTTTATTCCATGGCAAATTAAGGATGTCTGGGTGCTTTACCTGTATGCACCTTGGACTCTTTTAGGTATAACTTTGACTCAAAATTGCTTGACTTTATAGTCTTTGGGGATAATTACAATTATGTATTTTTATTTTACCCCTGTGATCCGTAACACAATTTTATTTGGCTTTCATAATTCTTAAAAATCATGCATTCAGGTACAAAGAACAATCTCTTCTCCCCAAACTACAAGAGAAACCTTTTAAATTAAATATTAAATTCAACATCAGACTTAAAGCATTTTAAAAAGCAGAATTACTTTGTTAAAATAGCTGGAGCACAGTTTTTATTCCACATTTGTCAATTGTTGCTTTGAATTTCCAGAGAAGGACAAAGTCACTAATTACACTGATTAACTTGATTTAGTATCTCTGTGCCTATGGACATCCTCTATACTCATTCCTTCAGCTGTTCTTTTCAAAGTCTTTTGGAGATGCAGCATAGAATGGCTCTGGAGACACTTTGAAGCAACGATGCCCAGGCTAGCATGGGGCTGTGAAACCCTGACAGAAAAATGAGCATTTGGCAAACCTTAACTTTTCATGTGTATGTTCAGTCTCTCTCGTATCACTACTCATTAAAACTAATCAAAATGTTGCACAGGAGTAAGCCAGAGAGGAGTGGTAGTGATTGAATATGTCCTCAGATAGATGGTAGAGGAACCTAGATTTATTAGGTTTAGATGGCATAATGGCTCTGTGTAAGAATTCCTAACATAATGCAGTATATTTCCCCTGTTTACGCTGAATTTACAATACTATTCTGTGCTGGTGGTTTCTTAGTTGATTCTTTTGATGTAATACCATCATAGTAAACCCTCATAAGCACATACACGGGCATGTGTTTGTCTTCGTGAAGTTATATAGGGACAGTTCACAAGCTAAGTGTGGCAAATTAATCTGAAGTAGAAGAGATGGAACACTGTAAAAGTGTTTCATTCTCATGTCATCATCTATATACCTAACGTGAGAGCAGTGCGTGAAGGGCTATTCTTGTCAATGAGATTTTTCAACTAAACTGGATGATTTATGTAACAATCTGCCACAAAATAGAGGAATTTGTAGTTTAGTTGCTGCCATTAGTAATTCAAACTTTGTGTTTGTCATCCATTGCTTTTTGAGCCTCTCAAAATGCTTGCAGAGTCAAGAAAAGAATGTTTCCAGTATTTTTACTTAAATCTAAGGAGGGGTGTGTTAAGTCACTTTTGCATTGGTAGGAGCAGGAATCCCGAGACACAAATGCTCTCTCAAGATGCCTGAAGTTAAGCACTGAAATTCAAGTGCATGGCCTAGAAAAGTTGAAAGTGTAAAAAGCAATTAAAGTTTTGGAGAAAATTCATATTTTTTGAAGAATTGGTAATGCATTACTGAAACTAAGATACATTTGAGAATTGTATCTTTTAAATGTTAGCACACAGAAGTAAAAGGGATCTCACATGGACGTACTGAATCTCTGATTCTCCTTCTATACCAGCTCTGCCCCAGCACGTGGATCCCTGTGTCAGTTATGTAGCTGATAACTTACCAGGCTTATAGCAAGCTGTAAATTCATTATAGAAAGAGAGGGAGGAAGCTGTCCATGCTGTCCCTTCATCTATGCTGCTTAGTCTTGTATGGTACTGCTCTACTTCTCATTCAAAGAAATGTCAAAGTACACTTCTCCTCAGTATCTTAGCCTTCTCATGGCTCAAAGTTCAGTATCTCCTACCTCTTTTCTGTGGAGTGTTTTTAAAGTAATGATTCATACCCAGAGTTCTCCGGGAGCTTCCCCTTTCCCTTTCAGGACCTCACTAGTGTTTTAGAAGGCCTCCTGAGGCTTCTTGGTTCATTTCCATCCTCATTTTACTCCACAGTCTGTGCTAGGTTGTCTCTAGCCCCATGTTTCTCTGGATATTTGCCTGCCTGTAACCTGTGAAGTCAACCAATGGAGGTGTGGTTAGAAATTAACTCTCCCTTTGGGGTTATGTATTCTTGAACAAGCATTTAGTCTGTACATATTTGGGTTGAGCTGATGCTGAAAATAGTGTTTCTCCCAGAAAACATGTCGAAATATGCTTGTTTTGTGTACCATCCCTTTGGTATACACAGAGCTGGTGTGCACCCAGCTTTGTACGTAATCCCTTTTACTATGAAATTTATTTCTTTGGCAGATGTTTGACAAATTAGCCAAGAACACTCAATGCCTCTGTTTCCTCATATGCAAAATGACGGCAGCACCTCCTTATGTTTTAGGAAACGGGGAGACTTAATTTACTGAATTTTGCAAACTACTTTAGATCTTATCTGGAAGATACTGTAGAAATATTTATAAACATGGCTTGAAAAACATAAACCCCTAGGTGAAAGTGTTTATGAGCTCATGCTATACAGGAAGTCAAAACAGCTGATCACAATTCTGCCTCTGGCTTTAAGATGTTTTATCTGTTAAGTATACATGTCCATAATTATACATGTCCATAATTATACAGGTTTTATTATTTTATGCATACATGCACTCTGTACTAGCAAGGCTCTGTTTTGGTTTTCATAGTGAAAATGTGGAAAAATTTACATTCATATTTGTTGTGGTATTCTGCTTTGACATTAAGAAACACCTTGATGGAAGAATGATGGCTTTGAGTGTAGTAGCAGTCATGCTCCAAAAGATGATTGTATAAAATTGATGTAATCTTATTTAACAAAGATGCATTCTAGTGTAAATAAGTCATACTTATGTAGTTTAGTACAAAAAGCTGACAATATGAGAAAATTTTGGTTGATTCCAAAATGTTTCTTCAGGATGTATTCACAGATTCATTGACACAAAGTAAGCTTTCCATGATGTGCTCATATTACACAGGAAATATTAAGTTTTTTTAAAAAACACTCTTATTTATAAAAACACACTTGTAACACCTTTTTCGTTTGGGTTTGGTTTGGTTTTCTGCCATCTAAGGCCTGGGACTGTATGTCAGTTGTGCTCCAATGTTAAGCCCACGTGCTCTGATTCTGGAAAGCTTCCTGGTTCAGAAACTCAGTTATCATGGGCGCTGAACTTAAAGCAACTTACACTCATATTTAAGATTGAGATAATCTTTCAGTACTTAGAGGGTATTACATTTTTCAGAGGAGATTCCTTATGTATAACCAGCTTTGTTTCTGCAGCTGTCATTCACTCACAATTCTATTTGTTTAACTATGACTGCAGGACTGCTGAAGTTACTGAACACATAGTCTACTTGTCTAAATTTCCGTAGCAAAAAAAATGATGACCACTTCAAAGGACTAATTTGAAACTAAATTAATTGATGTTTGTAGAGAATGTTAACTTTCTTCCATTAAGGCATTGCATATATATATGTATGTATATGCACACAATATAGGCATGTGCTGGAAAAGTAGAAAATGGTGAATCTATTAATACCTTTAATTAAGTGCTCTTCCATGGTCATCTAATGTTTCCCAATAAGGAATTGTAGAATATCAAATTAGAATAAGCAGTGATCTTTTATTTATTTTTGTTTTCTTTTTTGCAGCTACAAGAAAACCAAGATGAAATCGAAAATATGATGAACTCTATTTTTAAGGGTATATTTGTTCATAGATACCGGTAAGAAAACGCATGCTACAGCAGGATCTGCTAACAAAGTATAATCATAAGTAATGTCAAAGGCAGTTTCTGTGTTGATTTAAGTGTAACCCCTATTAACTGCATGGTAGAGCCACCCACACAACTTTATTTTAATTCAGTAAAACAGTTTTAAGGAATTGCGGGAGACATGGAATTTGAATCTTTGTCTTTTAAAAAGAAAAGTTGTCCAAGGTGGGAGCACAAACGTGACATATCTTAAGAATAATCAAATGGTCACTGTGTATCGTAAGAGGACAGTGTTGGGTTGTTGGGTACCTTTAGTCTGCATTTCCTTTTGTATGTCTTAAGTGTAGACAGCAAATGCCTGATGTTTCCACCATATATGCTTTAGCCACAACTTCAACTTTGTTTTAGGCTTTTTCCTCCTTAAATTACATAAGGGCAATCAAACCCCTTAATTCCAGTTAACATGTATTTTTTGTTTGTTAATTGTTTTGGACATTTGCAGCAAGACCTTTACCAAGTTATTGTGGTGGTAGCACAGTTTTTTAATAGTCACTATGCTATGTCTTGTGAATACAAACCCACAGCAGGTTACGTATATTCATGTGCACGTGTGAATGTACACAAGCATGCACTTCTACTTACTGTAGAATTGCACAACCAGTAGATTTGAACTGGTGCATGCTATTTTGGAGTATGGTTTATCAGAGAGCAGTAGTCTTTTAAAATAGATTTAGGGTTGTTTTGCATCAAAAAATACCTCAGAGCATCTGCAGCATCTTGGTGAAACCAGCTCTTTAAATGTTAATTGACTTATCGAAGTCAGAAGATAAAATTCAAGGATACCAAACTATGCAATTAACCTTTCAGATCTAAGTTCTGGTTTAAAACTTTACCATTTATAAAATTTTTCAGACAAATGGCAGGAAACAAGAAAGGGTGTATGAGAAGAGGGTTAGAATGTGAAGAGGAACCCATAGTTCAGGTGGGCAGGGGTATTATTGTAATTACGGAGAAAAGCATGCAGGAAACCTGGAAGGGGCCTGTGCTAAGAAATACGGGAGTGCGAACAGCACAGTGGAGTAGGACCGTGTCTCTTCTGTACCCAAGCATGATGCTTGCAAGAGTTTATAGCAGTACTGGGAGCATCTCTCCAAGGAGATCAGAGGTAACAGCAAAAAGGGGTCTTTTAAGAAGGTCCTTTAAGAAGGGGTCCTTTAAGAAGGCAAGGGATCTAAGTATAGTGATTGCTCACAAAAGAACCTCTTTTTCCTGTGTGCATATGTCACACTTCTCTCTTTCTTCAGACCTTGTATCCTTATTCTGTCCCCCCACACCAGTGAGACAACTTCATTTGCTATCCATTTGTTTCTTCCCGTATGAGGAAGTCATGGACAGGCGATGGTAAACTGAGAGGGTCTGAAAGATCGGAGAGGAAATGGAATTGGTCAGTAAGCCTTGAGCGACATGGCAACAGAAGGATGGTATGCAGTCAATGTGTAATTAGGATATTAGCTCAGTGTAGCACTCACCCGATTTTGTTAGAAAGCAGCTTCTATGGTGTGTAGGCAATAAAGAGATTAAATGCAAAGAGTTTTTCCATTTTTTCCCCCTTCAGAATTTAGTGTGTTGTATCAAACAAGAAGTTGCTTTAAAATATTTTCCTAGTAGCTCATGCTTTTGTGTGCAGTTGGAAAAATACCTTTTGATGGTCTGCATGCTGTTTCTTTTTCTTTCCTTCTTTCCTTCTTTCCTTCTTTCCTTCTTTCCTTCTTTCCTTCTTTCCTTCTTTCCTTCTTTCCTTCTTTCCTTCTTTCTTTCTTTCTTTCTTTCTTTTTCTTTCTTTCTTTCTTTTTCTTTCTTTCTTTCTTTTTCTTTCTTTCTTTCTTTTTCTTTCTTTCTTTCTTTTTCTTTCTTTCTTTCTTTTTCTTTCTTTCTTTCTTTTTCTTTCTTTCTTTCTTTTTCTTTCTTTCTTTCTTTTTCTTTCTTTCTTTCTTTTTCTTTCTTTCTTTCTTTTTCTTTCTTTCTTTCTTTTTCTTTCTTTCTTTCTTTCTTCTCCTTTTGTAACCCTGGTTTCTTTTCACGCCTCCTGCCACCATTAGTAAAGGCCTGATTCTGCTGATATTGCTATAACAAAGGAGAGGCCAAATAAAAAACTCTGCTTGTCCATGCCCTGAAGAAAGATGCCCAGGCTGACACTGTTAGAGCACTGAAGAATTTGCTGAAATTGGTCAAGGAGTGGTGTGCCCTGAGCAGGGTGGGTGGCACCACTTCTGCCACTGTTTAGAGAGGGTCAGAAGGAGTAAATGCTTCCTAGTCTGCCCCCAAGAGCCACTTTGTGAGGAATCATCATCTCTCTGGCTTCCATAACTTCTGTGAAGCTCTTAATAGAGTTTGTTACAACATATATCATATTTGGATATGAGTGATCTGTAGGCAACAGAGAACATAGATTCAAATTTCTGCAGTCACATATGTGCAAGAGCATAGAGGGGAAAAAAGTACCTCTATTAAAAACAGCTAATTGAAGATAAAACCATGGCCAGAGGGGAGAAAAAAGGAAAGGATTCCAAACTATTATCTGCTTCCATAATGTTTCTTAAGCAGTCCTTCTCTCAAATAGTTGAAATTATTTATAAACTTGACGTCCTTTTACAGTCCTTAACCCATGCACCAGTGGTAATGATTTCAAAAGAATGTTATTTTAATTATTCCCAGAGAAGAAATCCCTTTCCATAATATGATTCAGACTCTGCCACAGTGATTCATGCTTAATGACCTTTGTGACTTAAATAGCAAGTCCTTGATCTAAACAAAAAGCCTCCCCAAACTGTTTCGTTCAGAATGTAGCTGTCTTCCTACTAGTAAGCTAGGCTTGCAGTGAGGTTACATCATCTTTCTGTAGATTGTTCCAATTTATTGGAAGATTTCAATGCTCACTTCTCACATTAAAAAAAAAAAAAAGTTTTGCAGAAATAGCTACACAGTTTCCTAGGTGTACTGTTAGTCTGGTGTTAACAGCAGATTTGGTCAAAAATTTATAAACATGCAGGAGATGTACCAACCTGATTGCATATTTCCATATCTCTTTCCTGAATCACTTTTTCTGACTGTCTTCGTGTTGCTTTGTGACATATTTGGTTGTCTGTTATTTTTTTTAATCGTCTCTAAAACTGAGAGTTAGCATCAAAGGGGAGATGTAAGAGCAAAGAGTCAAGTTACTGAGCTTATGGTGGTAAGTATAAAAGCAGCGAGGATGACAGCTGTGGTAAATAGGACTGCAGGGCCATGAGGGTAATCAGACTCTGGAACAGATTGTCCACAGAGACTGTAGAATATCTGTCCTTGGAAATACTCACAAATTGATTGTACAAGGCATGTGTAGGGGCTTGGATATGGTGATATTCAGAGGTCCTAATCTCAACCAGGTTTGTGTCTGTATGAGTCTAATACTTTTGGTATGTCGAAATGAGATACTGTATACTGGTAGGTGAGGGATCTTAAAGGTAACCCTTCTTTTTTGTTTTTTTTTTTTTTTTCCTGAAGTTAAGCTGAAAATTACTTGCAGGATATGTGTATATTTTAAAAAAAAAGTGTATATTTAAAAAAAAAAAAAAAAAGAGGGAGGGGAGGCCTGTTTCCTCAATTCGTTTGTATTTGCATATCAGAGATTACTTTGAGATTATTGCCACATAACTTCTCAGATACAACAAGTATTTACAAAATGCCCATCGCTCTCAAAAGTTATTTGAGATTTTGTTGTTGCTACTTCCCTGCTCTTGACTTAGCAATGTGGGTCTGGACACATTTCCCATTCAGAAGGTTGGATTCCTGCTTCATAATATCTTTTTGTTTTGAATGCTCAAAGAGCTTTTCCTCCAGACATGAATGTCCAGCAAAACAGAACTATTACAGTTTAAACTTCTGGCAGACCTGAATGGTGATCCTCAGACTGATGGTCATGATGATTTTGTGAATTTGTGCAATGCAGTGAGCCTATCCTGAGGTATTATTTTGGCCATACTGATAATTAAGGTAAAACTTGCCAAATGCAAATGACATCTTTACAGAGAAGATGCTTCTGCCTCCCTCCAAGGTACTCCTTTCCCTCCTACTGAGTAAACAGGATGATGGTGACAAGTTGCATGCGAGTTCCACTCTAGGAAACAAGAGTGTTGCATGAAAACAAGGGAGAGGGGACATTAGATGGAAGTCTGGTGAGGAAGCAGGTAAGATACTGAGAGGAGCAAAAACCAGTCATCACAGGGAAATGAAAATCCAAACAAAACCATAGGAAAATCCTTTTCCCTCCCCCTAAATGTATTATCCTAAGGAGGTAAAACACATATCTTAGGTGGCAAGAAAATGCATTACGTTTTTATGTATGTTGAAAAAACAGATAGAAATTACCGAGACCATTTGTCACTTACAGGCATAAAAAAAGAGAAAGGCAAAAAGTTGCATCTTTGTGTTTGAATGAGTTTTACCTTAATATTGAGTTTAAAAACACACACCGCTCCCTTGCCTCCAAAGCCATGTATCATATTTCATATAAGCAAAGGTGTTAGTATGGTAAGTCTTTGAGAAACACTGGTTTTAGAGATAGGTAGAGCTACATCTTGAAATTCAAGTCATACCTTCAAACACTAAAATTCCTTGGTCTGGCAAGAATGTTGGATAATCAGCTTAGCAACACATTATTGAAATAGCTATGTAAGTAGCACTCTGTGTAGAATTACTTAGAAATGGGAGTGCTGCTTACCAACCCCTCCTGGGAGTGGGATATGCAGCGAAGAATCACCAGAATTTTTCAAAGTGAGCTCTACGTGCTTAGATTCTTACCCTTCTTCCCCTATGGGGTCCTAATTCAGCTCCAGAGATGAGAGAGTTGTAGAAAGAAGTAGAAAAGACATTTTGTCCAATCCTTTTTATAACTAAATCTTCAAAATGTTTAGAAACAGCCAAGCAGCCCAAGAGACAGGCATAGTTTGGTCCAATTGGCAATCATATATTATTGTAGAGCTGCACCATTTCATGTCCCTTGACTGGGAATTTGAGATTCCATCTCAAAGAACACCAGAGGCAGGTGAATGACCCTCATTTCTGTCTTTGTTGGAAAGTTTTCTCATAGATTAACTCTTATTCCAACCCACTGACTTGAAACTTCTTATCTTTTTTTTTCTGCTCATATCCAGTTTGCGTGTTGAGTAATACCGTGTTCTTCTGAAGGTTAGCTATAGTTCTCTGTCTTAAGAGCAAGATGTGAGAATCAACAACTCCAGTAGTTGTATTAGCCAAGCAAACATGGAATAATAGTGTAGTCAGGCATCCTTTAGGAGCTTCCAAGAAGTCTTGAAGTAGTTAAATGCTCTGCTAGTCATCTCCATCTTCTGCACTGGTGTTTTCCCTCAACACTGGTAATGCTTTAAGGACTTAAGCATCCATTTCAGTGCAGATAAGCCAGGTTAGCTTAAACTGCTTTTTGGTCTCGATTAGCCTAAATGAGTTTGTGATCAAATGGACTGAGAGAGTCCAGGGGTTGCAACTGGCAACTGCTCCAGCAAGACATACCAGTCTCCACCTGACACATCCCAGTTATCTATTAGAGACTCTATGTTTCAGGGTCCTAAGTACTTTTGACCTTAATCGAAATACTTGAGTGTAATTTAGCATGAAATATATGCTAAAGTGGCACTTTTGAGGATTGTTTCCCCTGAAACAATCAACTAGTAAAACAATAGTGACACTTTTTGCTGTGGTTTGTCCTGAGTTTTATGGGCCTGCATTGTCAACCCAAAATTTTAAAAGGAACAAGTGAATTTCTTACCTGATCTCCCTTTGTCAAATCTCTTTACAAAGTTGCATCATGGCAGGGGGTCTCTTTACTAAGAGTAGTATAGGTTTCGAATTTTACTGCGAATAGTTCACTGTTTTCCATTCATCACATAGAAATTACTTTGCAGCTTGTGCTGAAAAGAATGTTAAATATATTTTATGTTTAATATATTTTTATTTATAGATGCAGCATTAGTTTTGGTTTCTCCACTGTACTAGATTCTGTTCCTTTCTAGAAGCATTTGGCAAGTAATGTGAACTTACGTCACTAGTTTGTGATAATGAATAATGCACGAATTACTCCAGAAGTACTTGTAGTGCTGCTATGATTAGTATTAGTGTCATCCACAAATAGCGTATATTTAAAAAAATTCTTAGTGACTTTAAGAAGAAGTTAAAATACACTTAAGTGTGTAAAAAATTATAAGAAAAGAATTATAGTTTAATAACAAGCAATTGATCACAGGTATAAAGGCTCTTTGGCTGTGTTGTGTTTGATATAGCACATATGGGCATGGAATCTGTATTAGTGATTCCTGCAAGAAGACAAATTATTATTATTGGTAATAAAGTTACCTGGAAGATGGTGGTGGACTGGGAAATTGGTGTCTCACAAATTCTTGTGCCTCTCCAGCAATCTGAGTCTGTTTGCTAGTCAGTCTCAGCCTTATGCATGATTCTTTCGCATTTTCAATTATACTGAAGATGATAAATTTTATTATACTAAATCTTGTAATTAGTTGAATAGCTTTATTTTTCTTTTCTTT